GATCGTATCTACGATATATCGAGAGACCAACCACCGATTCCCTCCGTTGGACTTTTCGCCCGTGATTAATTCGTCCCTGGATATCAACTGGAGAAAAAAAAAGAGAATCGATACGATAGCAATCGGAGGGATGATGGAGGAACGGATTTCGTGTCGTTCGACGAACTTCGGAGTCAAACCAACCTGACTTCTAACTCAGATCCCCTCCCTTCTCAACTTTTTTTCCCTCCCGTTCAGCTTCTGCTGGAGTTTCAGGATACAGGAAGAGAAGATGAAGGTGGTGAATCCGGAGTCAAGATTGGTATTACGGATGATACCTATCGTTCGTCCATCTCCTTCATAACTCGAGATTAACATTTTCGAGTACGAAAGTTGAAATCGTTCGTTTTTGCGAGCAAACTGGATTAATCGTCGATCCATTTCTTGTAATCTTGGATGCAAAGTCTCAGGGTTAGATTATATCGAGACTGCGATAAAAACCTTGGCTTAAAAACAAAATTTAGATCAGCGTTTCTCTATGGTGACGTTGGTCATCGAGAAAAAAAAACAGGGACACCTTTTTCCGCCTCGTTAACGGAAAGGCGGATATTAAAATCCCTCTGTTGAATCTCGATTCGAAAAATTCAGGGAATGAAGTTATAGTAGAAGTAATTGGCCGTTGAAACAAATGAGGGATGCTGTTTCTCAACCGTTTTACATCTTCCACGTTTTCGTTTCCACGAAGATATCTTTTCAAAGAGTTAGGTGACAACTTGGCAACCACGTTTCACTCGCGTTTCATGTCTTCGGGACACGAGGGAACTTGCAAGCTTCGACGCGACGGTGCAAACGAGACTCATTTAACTCCATCCTCCCCTGTACTTTACCGCTTCACCCTTAGCCGGCGGTAAACAAGCTCAAACATCGCTGGAGGGCAAAGAGGAGGAGCATTGACGACGAGGGTCCGGCGATGGTAATTTCACTTTGAAAGAGGGTGCGAAATATTTATTCGCGCTGCCAAATGAGCTTGCATACCAGTGGACGATGGATACTTTTTGAATTAAACGCTACCTTACTTAATCTTAACTGTTCCTCTCAAAGAGAAATAACCAAAAATTTTATTACTTATTATTACTGGTTTAAAGATTTGACGTAATATTTTGCGAAAGTATGAAGGGACATGCGTCGAGAAGTTAATTTTTCTGAGGTAGAGTAAAACAGAAGGAGAAGAAAAGGTTTTCCCTATCTACTAAAGTGATGAATAAGTTGGAACAATGAACCAGTCATATTCCGAGATGGCTCGATTCCTCCGGGATTAAAATGCATTTCTGTCGGATTGTTTATACACTACCATTTATTTACCTTCCCTTCGTTTTCTTCCTATCGATAACTCGGAAAACAATGCGTTCTATTCTCCTATCTTCTCGCGTCGACGAATCAGTTGAAAAGTATATTGAAAGTCGCAGAGATTGCTTCGATTTAATCGTGGATACAACGTGCGATACCTTGAGGGATACCTTCTAGCCTCGAAGCTGTTATTAACGAAAACGAATTAACGATTGAATGTCGCCTATGATGTAAATTAAAAAAGAAAAGAGAGAGAGAGAGAGAAGAAGGGAAGAGAAAAAGAAAGACAAATTTGAAACACGGAAGCAATTATGCAAAGCATTTCGTAAAATTCATCCTTCGAACCTTTGTCCTCGTGGAAGAGTCACGAACTTTCGTCGGTCTTGCTCACCCCCGGCACACCAAGTAAGTTCATTAACGTGAATGAGGTGTTCCTGAAGAGGAGCCACTCATCGGGGACCGCCTCATGCCTCGAGAACCCCTCTCAAAGCCTTCTTATCGTTGCTTTAACACGCCGTTACATGCGAGGAACAGTGACTCGGCTCGTGTACGTAGAAAGTAATTCAACGGTGGAGTTTTCTAATCTGCTTGCGCGCGGGATCGTCACGCTTCGAACAATATTTATCGAGTTATCGACGTCCAAGTGTTTGAAAGTGACGATATATATGTACGTATAATCTTGAACGGCGAGTAACAAACATGGTTCAACTTGGACCAAGATTCCAACGCGAAACGAACGATTTAATTTCGCGTTTGCTATTTTCGATTCAAAAGATAGAAATTCCTCGTTCGTTGCCTCTGTCGAGTTAAATAAAATTACTCGCTGATCAAACGCTGGCCCATCTTCGAGATAAAGCGCGGATAAAGACGATGTATGGAAAGCATGGGAAGCTTTCGTTGTTGAACGAACTCTCTTTCGAACGAGAAACTTTTCTTCCGAATAGAATTTCGAGGAGGAAAGTTTTGCAAACGATCGCGAAACGATTCGGTCGAAAATAAAAGTTTGAGCTTGTAAGGCAGCCGCCCGGCGGCGCTTCCTTCTCAACGCGTTCTCGATTTAATTTTAGCACTTACGGACTCAGTCCACTCGCGAGTTCCATCGAGATGAAGCGAGCTAGCTTCACGCGTGCACGCGAGATTTTTTTACTGCGTCTTGATGCTTGATGTTTCCGGGTAGAACGATACGAAAGGCAACGTAATCCAAACATTTTTCCTTACTTTTTCTCAAGTGTTTGTCGTTATTATTCTCGAGTGTTTGTTACGCGTTGTTGTTCTTTGAAAAACCTAGGTAAAAAAATAAAAGTGACGAACGTGATTATATATAAATTCGTACACACTTCGTGTTCTTATGGTCCAAAGTTGGGTGAACGCGTTCTACGGTTACCGTTAAAGTTTCTCTTCGTTAAAAATTTTTATCCTTAAAAAAAAACTTCAGTTTGCGCGAAAGATTATTACGCGCTTTTAATTCGTGTAGATGGGCGTAATTTCTATCTGCGTTTTATTGGTGAAGATACGCCGAAAAGCCGTGGTCGAGTACAAGCGTGGTCCAAGAATATCCTCGTTGCTCGAGGCACGCAAGGGCAGCCAAAAGTTCAACATCCTCGACGAAAGCAACGTTTGCTTTTCCCCTAAGTACCTCTAATCACTCTGCAAACGTTAAACACGAAATTCATGGTATATCCTCGTCGTAAACCACTTTTAACCTTCCAAAACTTTCGAAATCGAAAGATATCTCGTACCCGTTTACCAATTATAATACACGAAAATGTCGCCAAACCGGTATTATACGATCTTATCAAACGCGAAATTTTCACTTATTCGCAAATTCGATCCCGAGCAATCGCGCTAATTTGAACCATTGTCGTAAGCATCATCGTCGAGCTGTATCTCTTCGACTTAATTTCGACTGTAATATCGAATCGGTCGATTTTAAAAGTTAAACGAATTGTCTTCGCGTTCACTTCGACTTTATTGGTGTACAATTCTGTTCTACGATGCGTCTTTGGGAAAACGTGTCACGTAGCATCGAAATCGTTGGATCAAATAATAATGGTGAAAGAAGAAAAAAATAAAAATAAAAAAGAAGAGAGAAAAAAGAAAAAAGAAAAGCGGCAAAGGAAAAAGGGTTTGAAAAAAATGGGGAAAAGGGGGTTGCGCGTTATTCAGTCGACAATCAGCCGCGATGCAAATTACGGGTATTCATAACTTAACGCTACCGACCGCTTTTAAGCGAGCGTTAAAGCTGCCCTCGGTTTTATTTCACGCCGCGTAATCCGGTTTGCCGCGTGCACGTGCCGCGTTTTTTTTTTTTTTCCCCTCGTAAATTTTCGCCAAATGATTTTTC